TCAACTCATGGTTTTCTCACTTCTACCCTTCTGATTCTCTCCCCCATCCCACCGGGGTGGAGGGAGCAAGCGGCTGCATGGTCTTCAGTTGCTGGCTGGGATTAAACCATGACACACTGAAATACTTTACTGAACCAGCAGAGGTTCAACCTATGAATTCTGGTTCATCCCCGAATATTAAAACTGGGTGTATCCTTATATATTTTTATCAATCAGGGCCTGGAACAGTTTTCATGCTATGCTAATATGCTATTTTGTAGTAATTACAGTTTCAGAAAAAAAATCCAATATAAAATAACTTTTTAAAAACCTTTTATTTGAACTATTGCAGGCATGACCTCTGACTAAAGAGCGGGTTTATTTTGTTTTCATTAGAACTGGAACTTATACACATGGAATGTCTTGATCTCTTGAGTGTTTTGAGAGAAAGGAAAACAAGCCTAACAACTGCACTTCCCCAGTACAAGAGAGATATGCAGCTACTGGAAAGAGTCCAGTGAAGGGACACTAAGATGATTAAGGGACTGGAGCACCTCTCATATAAAGAGAGGTTGAGAGAGGTGGGCTTGCTTAGCCTAGAGAGGAGAAGGCTCAGGTGGATCTTAATGTGTATAAACACCTGAAGGGAGGATGTAAAGAAGATGGAACCAAACTCTTTCCAGTCGTGCCCAGTGACAGGACCAGAGGCAATGGGCACAAACTGAAACACAGGAGATTCCTTCTGAACATCAGGAAACAGTTTTTCATTCTATACAACAGCTCAGTGGTGGTTTTCAAGCCATTTAAAGCACTTGTTCAAAGTGTAAGATCTGCATTTAATTTCCTCAAACAATACGATGCTAAATTCTCTCCACTGCCATATTTGATGGAACTTGCTCTCAGAAATTCTAGATATGCACAGATTTCATCTTGCTCACTAACAGTTTTTCATTAAAGAAATAAAAATATGAAGCTTCTTTGGGCCAGAGAAATGGACCTTAACTATTACTTTTGAACTTTGTGCCCATCTGTGGGACAGAGACTGCATCATCTTTCCATGACTCTTGACACATTTTTGATGATCTATAAATTGGATAAATTGGATTAGCAGTCTTTGGAACAAGGATAAAACAAACAAACAACCCTCTCCCTCCCAACACATCTACTGTCTTCATTATGAATATTCTAATCACTTGATTAAATATCCTTTTTTCTTCTTCCAAAGTGGAACATAAAGATGACTTCCACACAGGATTTTGTAAGATTAGAGAGTGAAATGCACCAATGTAGCTAAATGGCTTCTGAAATGTAATCAGGTTTTCACTGAGTCCTCTGGCTTCCTGGTTAATAAACTCAGGTGTAAAGGGGTAGGCCTTCTAGGCCTCTCTGATCAGTTAATGGAGTGTGATGCATATGGCAATATAAGACAGAAATTAGGAAGTAGAATATGCCCCTGTAGCAGCAAGCACAGTTGTTGATAGTCCTTTATAAAACATTCCTGAGCTGCACAGCTAATTTTTTTTTTAATTACATATAAACAAGTCCATTACACTCAGTTCAGATAAAATGATGCACCTGGAAATAGAATATAGCCATTGCTGCCAGGAACCTAGCTCTTGAATTTAAAGACAACTGGTATCATAACTTAGTTTTATTGCTCTACATTGACTCATCTGGCATTATCAGAACTCCTCATACTTTTGGTTTAAAATGTAGGTATAAAGTATATGGGATTTTATACAGTGGTTCAGACAATGAAATAAATTACAGAACTGTAGAATAGTCCTTCATGAAGTGAAAGTGAATTCATGAACTTCAGTGACTTCTCACATAGTCTAAGGCCAAACATGATACAAACAGTCTTATACACAAAACAGTTCTACTGATTATAACAGTATTAGTGGTCCCATGACATTGCTTCATAACATTGGGTAGTTGCTTCTGGGAATTCATTTAGAGAATCACATAAAAACATGATGGCATCTACTTGGCATACAAAAACCAAAACACTCTTAGGGGAAACAACAGGTTTTAACATCTGTCCATACCCATCTAACATCAACCATTTCTTAGAAATGTCTGCAATACACCAGCTGGACTATAGAGATAAATCATCATTGTGAAAAATGTCATGGTCTACATATGCTTTTGTTTTGTTTTTTTAAAGCAAAGCCAGAATTTTAAACTTACCTTATTAGTATTGATAGCTGTGATGACCCACACACATTGAGCATTGCTGTCATACTGGAATGGAAAATTGGGTGACGTGAAAGTGCCTCCAGGTCCCTGAAGATTGGATCCGCAAGTCTTGACTGCAAAAAGAAAGTTTACCTTTTAATTCACATACAAAATACATGTAGCAGATTCATAAACCAAGCTCTAACTTACATTAATCAAGATGTGAAGGGTTAAAATACCATTGACCAAAAATAGAATGATCTTATATAATAGAATATTCATATTTAGTTATTCTGACAAAGTAAAATAGACTTTCTCTTGTGTCCAAGCTTATGAACTTTAAAAAAAAATTAATGTATTTGGAGAAAAAGAGTAAGTACAGTAAGAGAAACTGCTCTATTTATTTTTAAAAGAACACTTCAAGAAATAACTTATGTCATTACCTTCACTAATGTCTTGAAAGACAAGAGTTTATATAGTAGAACACAAAGATCACTTTTATCACTGTTCATTTTTTTGTGCACATGTATTGGTGTATGGCATGTCAGCATTTTTTCTGCTGTAACCACTGTCGAACCCATTGAACCAATGGCTGAAGCACTGAAAACTTCAAAGGAAACTTGTAAAAGTTAGACTTACACAAAATAGTGTTATCTATTTTTAAAGACTACAGAGGGCATTTGTTTACAAATCAAGGTCTGGATGGTTATTTACAGTAGCATATCTTAAATAAAACAAACTGATATCCTTATTTACTGTAGGTTGCATCTCACATCACAAATAACACCAAGGACATAAACTGTGTCTTTTCTGCTTGAGCATGACATTTTTAAGGCACTAAATTCATAGTCTGCTGAAGTCAATAAAAGTTTTATTGTTGGTTCCTTGATATTCAGATCTTTGTTGAATGCACTATTGGTTCACTTTTCCTGTATGAGGCTGTAGAACTGACAAGCCACCTCAGCTAAACATGAGCTTATCCTATTTCTCCAGTGATTATTATGACACCACAAATAAACTGCAGAAGCTAAATAATTATTGCTTCTTCTGTATTCTGACAGACCATCTTGCTTAACTGAATAAAAAAAATTCACATTAAGATATATGAAATTACCATACAGTTATATTGCACTTTTACAAAGCGTGCTTATTTGATCAAAACTGAACACAGGAGGATTCAGCTGCTGCTGGATGAAGACTCGTTCCTTCCCTCCCATTACCCTCTATAAAGAATGTCACTCTTTCCACCCAACCTGCACCACTTTTACCCCTCAGAGAAGCAATACTCTGGTGAAGAGTCTGTTCAAAGCCACACTAGAAGCCTGAAAACAAGGAGAGAGGAGGGAGATGAGAGGAAGGCTCCTCATTTATGATCAGTAACTGAAGCCATTGAGGTCATAAGTAAAACTAATGCTGAGCACAGCTTTTCGTCTATGTTTTTAATAAAAAAACTGTGTGACTCTTGCAGCTCAGATCTGTGTGTGGGAAGAAAGTCACGAGAGGGAAAACAGTGAGTGTTCTAGACACAATCTGCTGCTCCATGTGAACATGTGTGTTCATCCTTTGGGGCAGAGTTGGGACATTAAGCACATCTCCTTTGTGTGTATGCTGTGGTAGAGTTATGAGTTGTGTTTGCTGCCTTTTCTCAGGGTAGCCTCATAGTGAAGGTCTCAAAGGAAAGCCATGTCATTCTATAGTGGAATGGTCCTGATAAAAGGTGTCTTTGACTTCTGATTTCTATTATTCATACTCATTTCAAATATTCCTAACAGACATTTGCTTTCAGTACCATAGTCTGAAATCCAGAAGAATCACAAATTAAAAATCACAAATTAAACCAATCACTTGGTCTTGTAAAGTCTGGTTAAGGCGGAAAAAAGGAGTGATTAAAATACGGATCTTCATTCATTTGAAAATACAAATATAAGAAGCTGCAAAGATGAAGCTATTAGCTATACTTATTTACAGTTTAGGAAGGCTTCTGATGCAGCAACATAAACTACTGAAATGTTATGGGTTAATACTGAATTTCTTTGGAGATAAAGGGAGAAACATGTATGCCTTTAGGGTTTTAATGGCTATATATGATTGATCTCACTGCATTTGTCAAGTGACTGATGAACAAAACACATCTGTGTTTTTGGCAAATATCAGAGTACTTTCTGTTCAGCAATAACTGTAGTGAAAACAATGTTCTACTGTAATATGACAATACAATATTCTAATATACTAATATTTTATGTTCAAGCCTATAATCCACAGTTTGCCAATAAAATACAATCAAAAAAATTCTTATGTGATTTCTTTACCCAGTAATTTATGTCTGCCTCAGAACCTCAATACTGTACTTTCTCCTTCAATATCCCCATTTTTGCTTTTATCCCATTACCTGTTGTCTTTATCTCAATAAGTATCACAAGTTCCCTGCCTCTGCCTCTGATTTTGTGTGGATCACATGAAGATTTGTTCTCGATTGCTGCAACCTTTAAAGTGCTGCAGGTTACAGGCAGTGTAGTATATATATTGTAAAACTAAGACAAATTTTTGTTAGCTTTTATTAATCATTAGAAAAATCTCTCAGAGACATAAGTGGTCTGCATAAACTTTTTGCTTTATTTATTGAAAATTATAAATACTTCCTATATATTTTAAGACATTCTTTGACAAACCTTCTGAATTCAAGTAGTTGCTCACGAGACAGTTCACCTAAGTGTGCACTGCCTCTCATGGCTCTGTGCTGATTCTTACAACACTGCAAAGAGTAAGCGAAAAACCTCTCTAGAAGCAAATTACAACACACCGATATGTATGAACTACCATTTAGAGTTAATAAGTTTTTTATATTTCTAAGTCACTACCTTTATTTGAAGAGAAAATTTAAATTTTCTTACAGAACCAGATCTGATTTTAGACACATTGTAAACACAGAAAAAAGATCATTAATTCATTTTATATGTAACAGACAAAAACAACTCATAAGACCTCACTGTCCTCTAAGCATGGAATCAGCTCTTGGTGGGAGACAGAAATCAATAAATTGGTGGAAAGCTTTTGCTGTTCCAATACTCCAATCTGCTCTTCAGAAATTATTATGAGTTTTGCTATTAACTTCAGAGATTCACATGAATTTTATAATTGAGATTAGTGTAAAGAAAGAAAAAAACATGATCAGTACGGCAAATAATTTAGCTAAGCAAAGATGATACATACAGAGATGCAATTATGAAGCTTGCACAAAAATGTGTAGGATAGCAACTCTGTAGTCGTAACTGGTGAGTATCGGTCATGTGATCAAAGGTGGGAAGGGAGAAATATTCCTTGTGGAGTATGATTTCTTTTCTGACCTACAGAATGAATTTTGAATAGCTGAAATTTAACCTCTCTATATATTTAATTTATTTAAAATAAATAGAGAACTATGGTAGTCAATGGAGATTTATAGATCCATAGGAGAAAATAACCTCTCTATATTTAATTTATTTAAAATAAATAGAGAACTATGGTAGTTAATGGAGATTTATAGATCCCCATGAGAAAAAAAGCTGATGTATCAGTTTAAAAACAAGTATCATTTTTTGAATTAAAAAGTCTCTGGTCAATAAAGATTTTTCCTTTGTAAAATATATAACCTTGCCTCACACACTTAAAATGTCTAACTTCTTCCTGAGATGTCTACTTCTCTATTTCCCTTGTAATTACAAAAGACTTTCTGAAAGATAGAAACTTATCCTACCAATGCATATGTGTGCTTTCTAACTGCCAGAGAAAATGTGAAAACCACAAAGTTAATGCAAGCCTACATTGAGAAATCATGAATGACAATTATGCATATAGAAGTGTCATATATACTCTAAAGGAGAATAAAATTTAGTGAAAACAATTAACTATGATCACATATAGATGTCAATAGAGAGAAAAGATTAAAGAAGATAATTTTCTTTTTGCAGTCCTTAATATTGAAGGTAGTACAGCTAACACTTAAATAAAGAGAGTTTGTTTGTTGTATAAATATCTATAAACCTCCATCAAAAAAATCTATCATCACCACCAAAACTGTGAAAGCGTAAGAAGCAATGTATTATCCTGAGAACAAAGATAAATAAGGGACAACTTCAGTATGGGGAAGCTGATTAAAAGTATGCAGTCTGTTAAAAAAATATAATCACTGTCTGAGTGTGTGCAAAAGGTTCAGCTCTGTGTAAAACAAGAAAGTTCAGCTTGCTAGAGTTTCATGGAAAATATTATAAATTAAAAGATAAAGTCAGAATTTAATTGGAATTTCAGAAAGCTATTAGCAAGGCCACTCACTCAGAATAGTCGAAATAGGAAAAAGTGAAAACCAGTTAAGCAATTGGAAAAAGATAAAATAATGAACTTGCTTAGTAACAGAGTATTTTTCACTGAATTGATATAAAAGCATTTTCATCACAGTTCTTATATACAGAATATAAAAAAAAACCCATAGATATATGTGTGTGTATATATATGCATAGATGTAGAGAACGGATTTGTGTATTAATTGCAAAAAAGTGCAAATTTAGCATACCACATAATACACTAAAGTCTTACCAGCTAGTGAGTAGTCAAAACTTTTTCCATTTTTCCTTAAAGATTCAAATAAAGAAAGAAAAGTCATCTTAAAACTTTTTTTTTTCTTTTTTTTAATGAACCACTTGGTTTACTGAACTTTTCTGGTCACTAACATTTGCAAAATTTAGCCTTTAAAAGTTTCCAAAAAAGCCTTCCTATTCCTGATAACTCCTACCTGTAAATATGTGTTCATAGTGAAAATAATTTGCAGATAATAGTAAATTTTTTATAGAAGCTTCACCTTTTGTAGATTTAACTAGGTTATGAAAACTAGAAGCTCACTATTAGCAAAGTAATGAGTATATTTTGGCTATATCTTACTTCAAGAGAGTAAAAGGAGGTATTTTAGAAGTTTAGTTTTATCTATTTTGAGTTGCAAAGAAAAAGAAAAGTTCTTTAAGAAAAATAATCTGTTTACATCTGACAGCTGCTGCTATTCAGAAATGATTCTGGATACTACATGAGTTTATTCAGGTAACGTCTCAGTAAATTTTATCGCTGTTATTGCTCACACTGTATAGCAATGACACATTTCAAAATAATA